TGTTCTGTTATGTACTGCGGATGCAGGTTTACCAAACAGGACCCGTGCCGGACCTTTAAATGCTTTAAACAGCTTTGCGTCTCTCCGTCAGATAACCTCACGTGTATGATGTGCCATTTACAGGTATTTCCCTAACCGACACACAGCTCATATATTTTTTCGCCATGGGGTGAGAACTTAATGACTATGAAAACGATTATTTATTTTTGATAATTATTATTTTATTTCAGTTAGTTTTGCAGTAACTGTTGTTAGTTTTGTTTCGTTTTAGTTTTTCATTTATTTTGATGTTTTTATTTTATTTCAGTTTACGAAAATGTTTTTTGACCAATCGTTTTCGTCTTAGTTTTAGTTTTCATTTACGAAAATAACCTTGCTTAGCAACCGGGTTTAAGTGATCCCATGCCGGCTCAGAGCACACCTGTTCACTCTCCCTGCAGCACTTTGATCCGTCGGTGTGTTTACACGTAAGGATTACACGTAAGGATACATTGAGCGGCTCCATCCTTCTGGGCGGATCGGAGTAGAATGCTGTCACCAATGATTTCATATCGCTGACAGCATTGCATTTGTGTGTGCATCGCTGAGGCTGTGCTCACTAAGACAAGCTGCTTTCACTTGAAAGCAGGAATCTCTCTCTTCTCCATTCACGCCTTCTTCGATGAAGGTAGCCCGCTCTCAACGTTTCTCTTCTCTCAGCGAGCTCGGAGAAGGAAACGGTGAAGTCACGGAGCTGAGCAACCAGTTTGAGTGATCTCACACCAGCAAAGTGCTCGCACGCTCACTCTCCCCCGACGCTTTGATCCGCCGGCGTGTTTACACACAAAAATAAAAAAAAATAAAAAAAACACCCCTCTTTACATTGAGCGGCTCAATCCTTTTAGGCGGATCGGAGTGGAAGGCTGTCACTATGATTTCATATCGCTAACAGCTTTGGACCTGAGTGCGCCACACGCCCACGCTGAGGCTGCGTTCACTGACACAGTCTACTCTCACTATGGGTGATGATGATGTGAGGATCATCAGCACCCCTCATCTAATGAGCGGTTTGATCTTTTAGGCGGATTAAAGAGAATGCTGTCACCAATGATTATTATCATTGACAGCTTCGGACTAGATGCATCTGGACCACGCCCACTCTGACGCTGCGCTCACAGGGGCTGGTTTCTCTCATTGTGAGAGCATTGAGTCTAGCAAAGCAAACTTTGCAGAGAGGAAGAGGAGAGGATTAGTTCTCGCCTTGGCCAGAACTCCCTCAAAAACAGTTCGCTTTCATCCTCCATCCCTCCAAACACCTCTGAGCGATGGAGTTTTGTTCTCTGCGGGTCACGCCCTACAGGTGCAGTGCAGACCTGAATATTTTACTGTTGCAGTAGCAGACCAAAGAGCAAATTTCCTCTTCACACTCTCTCACTCGCGAATTCAGGCGCGGCGAGCCTTTATTCGCAAAATAGATCCTCTCACATCCAAGCTATCGGCCTGGGCAGCCATACCGGACGGGTCGAGTTGGGTTCTAAACGCAATCCAATGAGGTTACTCACTTCAGTTCGCTCACAGGCCACCTCGTTTCAGAGGTGTTATGCAAACTTCTGTTTCGGACAACAAAGCGCTCATTCTCTGACAATAGTGCAGACATTGCTTGCAAAAGGCGCTGTGGAAATAGTGCCCCCAGCAAACAGCGAGTCAGGCTGTTTCAGCCACTACTTCCTCGTTCCAAATAGAGACGGCAGGCTCAGACCCATCTTGGTTCTGAGACATCTGAACTGCTCGCTTATGCGCCGGCCGTTCAAGATGTTAACTATCAAACAAATTCTCGCGCACAATTACCCCGAGGACCGGTTTTTGACAGTGGATCTGAAAGACGCGTACTTTCACATCCTCACAGCCCCCCGTCACAGACTGTTCTTGAGATTTGCATTCGAAGGAGTGGCCTATCAATATGCAGTCCTTCCATTTGACTGTCTCTGGCCCCGCGCACTTTTACGAAGTGCATAGACGTGGCTCTTTCCCCTCTGAGGCAGATGGGAATCCGCGTTTTGAACTACCTCGATGATTGGCTTGTTCTAGCCAGATCAGAACGGGAGTTGGCTGCTCACAGAGAGCTGTTACTCAGCCACTTAGAGCATCTCGGGTTGGTTATCAATCCGCACAAGAGGGTTGGTTATCAACCCGTCTGTTGCCCAGACAGCGTGCTGTCTTGAATGCGGGCATGGACTATGCCGGAGCGATCCCTGACCATTCAGCGATTAGCGGCATCACTCAAGCCAGGGACGAGGCATCCCCTGAAGGTTTTTCAGAGGTTACTCGGCATTATAGCGGTCGGACAGCATGACGGTGGTGGCCTACATCAATCACCAAGACGGTCTTAGGTCATGCACTCTATACAGGATTGCTCGTCGCTTTCTCCTTTGGGCACAGAGGGAACTCCTCTCATTACGGGCGGTTCACGTGCCGGGCAGATTGAACCATGGCGCAGACATGCTGTCCAGAGGCAAGGTAGCCCCGGGCGAATGGGTGCTACATCCTCAAACGGTTCAAAAAATCTGGTCAGTCTTCGGCAAGGCAGAGGTCGACCTCTTCGCCTCAGAAGACAACTCTCACTGCCCAACATATTTCTCGATACAGCGAGATGCTCTGGCCTACGACTGGCCCAGTGCATGCCTATACGCATTTCCCCAATCGCCCTGATTCCTCAGGTCATCAGGCGGGTCAGGGAGACCAAGTGCTCTCTCTTCCTAGTGGCCTCACTCTGGAGGAACCAGGCCTTGTTCCTAGAGCTAGTGCAGCTCTCAGCAGCAGCCCCTTGGCCCATTCCGCTGAGGAGGAACCTTCTCTCACAGGCAAAAGGCATGATTTGGCATCCCCGGCCGGAGCTGTGGAGCCTTCATGTATGGTGCCTCAACAGGAGCTTAAACGGCTCCCAGCGAGAGTAAGCGATACCCTTTTGGAGGCAAGAGCGCCGTCTATAAGACGGCTTTACAGCCTAAAATGGTTGGTCTTCCTTAACTGGTGTTCTGCACGAAGTTTGGATCCGATATCATGTGACGTGTCCCACGTGCTAACCTTTTTGAAAGAGCTGCTGGATAAGGGGCGCGCCCCCTCCACGGCTTTCCCCTTGGGCGAAGTTGGTTAAATTGGTGCTTCTCAGCTACTAGCTTGGAACACAATGTGCTCAGGTTCTTAGGGGTCCTTATTAGTGCTCCGAGACTGGGCTCGCAGAGCAGGATGTCCTGTATCTGCTCATAGCACGGCGTGATTGGATGCGTTCCCCATACACAACATGAAGTGAACGTTCGAAAGGGAACGCTCCGGTTAATAACGTAACCTCGGTTCCCTGAGATAAGGGAACAAGCGTTGCATAGGTCAGATGATTTCTCATGGAACAAGAACATCGCCTCTTTAGTGAAGAAAGCCCAACAACGACTACGCTTTCTGAGAGGACTTAAAAAGCAGACATGAGTAGCATCATCATGATTAACTTCTACAGATATGTAGTGGAGAGCATCCTGACTAACAACATCACAGTCTGGTTTGGCAGTTGCTCGGCTGCTGACAGGAGGGCCCTACAGAGGGTAGTAAAGGCTGCCCAGAAGATCACTGCATCTAGTCTCCCATCTATGGAGGACATCTACAAGCGCGGTGTCTCAAGAGAACAACTAATATTATGAAGGACAATGCTCATCCCGCTGCAGGACTGTTCTGCCTACTTCCATCTAGAAGAAGACTCCGAAGTGTGCGATCACGAAATACAAGACTGAGAAATAGTTTCTTTCCTCAAGTGATCAGGTTATATAACATCTGTGGCTGATCAATGCCCTCATCTTGTACCTGTGTCTCTTGGGGGCCCAGAGATGGATACTGGACATTATGTAATGGTCAGAAATTGCAATTAATGTTCAGAAATTGCACATTTTATTTAATACCTATTATGGCACAACTTTACTCTAAGGTCTAACATTTAACTGCTTATTGTTGCACATTATGATCTACCTCATTGCAATGTTTGCAGACTCAGCAAATGCTGCACACATTGTCTGTTGCATTATGTTGTTAATATTGTGCTATTGTTAGATATGTCTCTATTTTTGTACTATGATGCTCTCGGAGATACTGTGTTTAGTTTCTTCCTGTAGGGAGGAATGACAATAAAAAGTACTTGAGTTGACTTGACGGTTCTGGTTGTGCGCCTGCGCGGATACGCGGAGGGGAGAAAGGCATCGGAACTCAACAGTCTCAACATTTCCCGACGCGACCTGATATTTAGATTTTTTATTTGTTTGACAGGGAAAGCTGTGCACAAACAGAAACACACACACGCACACATAATGAATATTAATTTATATATAAAAAAAAAAATTCCCCATGAAAAAAGGGCACTTTCTCTCGAGATAGAAAAAGGCAGGTGCTCAAGCCCACTTTGATGTCTGTGTGTGCACGTGCCTGTACACCACTGACGTTCACAGCACTCACGTTCAGTCTATCAGCGAGATACATCCAGCTGCAGAACAGCAGAACCTTTATGTCACAGCAGTCTCAGGACAGCAGCGTCAAGCCGGAAGTGGGCGGAGCAAAAGTTATCTTACTAAGCATAGCACCATGTAGTGTTTTGGTCACTTCAAATTTTTAATCTACGTTGATGTCAAGTCTGCATTTTATTATAACGATTTAATCAGATGATAGATAGATGAGGTAGATAGACAAAGCGAAGCTTGAGGATTTGAACATTTGATTTATTTATTTTTTACAATTATTTTTCCATTATACACATTATCATACATAAGTAGCAAAAGATAAAAAAATAAATAAAACTAAAGAAAATAAAACAAACAAATGTTAAAGGGGTCATATGATGCTATTTTAAAGATCATTATTTTGTGTATTTGGTGTAACAGAATATGTTGACATGCTTTAATGTTCAAAAAACATTATTTTTCAAATACTGTACATTATTGTAGGTCCACTATGCCATGCCTCTCTCAAACAGGAACTGGAAAACAGAAGGTTATTTGGCCAGTTGCTGGTCGTCAGACATTTCGGCCTGTGAAAGCTTGAAGAAGAGTTTTCTTCTGGTCTTCCTCTTTCAGTTGGAGGAACCTCAGCTCTTTCACCAAACCTCTGAAGACACAGAGGTTTTTCCACAGCCATCCAACTGCAGTGTGGAGGTCGTTTGTTATCCTTGGCTCCTGAATGAGGTGTACAAACAAATGGAATGAAGTGCTGGAAATACCTTCAATAATACTGTGCATTCAATTACACATAATACTAAAAAGTCATGAGCTTTAGTCAGGATGTAGCAAGCATTATCAAGTTTTGATTGTTTTTTTGTTTTCTCAAGTGCCCCTATTTGAGACATAAAAAACATACCCTGCTGCAGATTTCAATCTACTGCTCTTCTGGCACTTGCACGCAGTGAGGACATGTTTCCTGCTAAAAAATTATGGTAATTTGTATGTAGTCTGCTGGACAGAGAAAAACGTAAGCGAGAAAAAGATACCTTTCAACAGCAAAATTATCCAAGAGAATGAGGCACCACCATTTTAGTATTAGAGGAAAAACAAACTGGCAAATAAGGAAAAGCAAAAATTAATATATCATCAAATTGAATTAAGTCCCAATTATCTTTTTAAACAACAACTTACAGCTGTTAAATCAAAGGGCATCTCACCCCTTTTGTCCATGCACTCATCGAGAAAAATGTCCATATTACCCTTAAATTGGAACTGGAAAACAGAAGGTTATTTGGCCAGTTGCTGGTCGTCAGACATTTCGGCCTGTGAAAGCTTGAAGAAGAGTTTTCTTCTGGTCTTCCTCTTTCAGTTGGAGGAACCTCAGCTCTTTCACCAAACCTCTGAAGACACAGAGGTTTTTCCACAGCCATCTGCAGTGTGGAGGTCGTTTGTTATCCTTGGCTCCTGAATGAGGTGTACAAACAAATGGAATGAAGTGCTGGAAATACCTTCAATAATACTGTGCATTCAATTACACATAATACTAAAAAGTCATGAGCTTTAGTCAGGATGTAGCAAGCATTATCAAGTTTTGATTGTTTTTTTGTTTTCTCAAGTGCCCCTATTTGAGACATAAAAAACATACCCTGCTGCAGATTTCAATCTACTGCTCTTCTGGCACTTGCACGCAGTGAGGACATGTTTCCTGCTAAAAAATTATGGTAATTTGTATGTAGTCTGCTGGACAGAGAAAAACGTAAGCGAGAAAAAGATACCTTTCAACAGCAAAATTTTCCAAGAGAATGAGGCACCACCATTTTAGTATTAGAGCAGTGTTTCTCAACCCCCGTCCTTCAGGGCGACTGGGAGGGGTCGTGCGGTGCTTGAACGGGGAGCTGCGACTCTCCGCGTCGGATGGCAAGCCTTACCTGTCGCCGAATGAGGAGCACGATGGAAGGCCAGGTGAGGGACTCTCGCTGCATCCGAAGGGAGCTGCGGCTCTGCTGCACTGGAAGGGAGAGTCCCTCTTGCAGCTGAAAACGTGGCGTGGTTTAAAGCGTCAGATGGAGGGCTCTCACTGCGACCGAAGAGATCCGCGGCTCTGCTGCACCGGAAGGGGGAGCCCTGTCCAATGCTGAATAAGCCTTGAAACTCGCAACGACGGATGGAGGGCAGTATCAAATTTAAGCGGGGCACTGCAGCGGCAGTATCAAATGAGCAGGGCACTGCAGCGGCAGTATCAAATTAAGCGGAGCACTGTAGCAGCAGTATGAAATGAGCAGGGCACTGCAGCGGCAGTATCAAATTAAGCAGGGCACTGCAGCGGCAGTATAAAATTAAGAAGGGCACTGCAGCGGCAGTATCAAATGAGCAGGGCACCGCAGTGGCAGTCTCAAATTAAGCAGAGCACTGCGGCGGCAGTATCAAATTAAGCCGGGCACTGCGGCGTGGTTTAGAGTGTCAGATGGAGGGCTCTCACTGCGACCGAAGGGAGCCGCGGCTCTGCTGCACCAGAAGGGGGAGCCCTGTCCAATGCTGAATAAGCCTTGAAACTCGCAATGACAGATGGAGGGCAGTATCAAATTTAAGCGGGGCACTGCAGCAGCAGTATCAAATGAGCAGGGCACTGCAGCGGCAGTATCAAATTAAGCGCAGCACTGCAGCGATATTCATTCGATAGGTATTTTTTTTATTTTTTATTGACAGCTTTGTAGACTGGGCATACGAGATGGGCATGAGCTCCGCCGCAATAATTACAGGCATGAAGAAACTTGCAATGTTGTCTAATGCATTTACCCCCGTTGAAATTGTGACAAACCTGTCCAGCGACTGAGAAGGGAGGCCTTGAACTTCCCTTGGAGTCCGGATCTGCATAAAAAGTTGCAGAGCGTGGGATGTAGCTAGTGGATTTGGGTTGGACCGTGTCTGAACAGGCAGGGATAGTGGGATTAACTTGAGGACAGGAAGTTGTGGGGTGGACTAGCGACCTGCAGAGTGCGCATGTGATGTTGCAACATCCTAAAAACACTCTGTTGTGGAGATCAGGGTCCAGCGCGCCCCAGTAGGGGCATTGATTCCACTGAGCCACGCGAACCGCACATTTGGCAGAGAATAATTTGTGGTATGTATAGAAATGACCACCTCCGTAGGACAGCGCGAGTTCTGCGACTATGGCCAAATAATCGTTGAGTTCGCGCCGTCTATGGGGAAAAACTGAGCATATAACGTCTGTGTAGCGACTGAAAGCGATGGGGAATTAGGAGCAGGGTTTTCAGAGTGACGGACAAATTTCCGCAATCAATAAGCCGATTTGATTCGGCGACGGGGAGGAGAGAAAGCAGAGATGAGAGATCAATATCCGCACCTGCGAGGATCTGAGACCTGATGTTGTGAGTCACCGGGGGTGGTTCTGAAGCAACGGCATTCAGTGGGGCAGGAAGCGATGTAGCAGATAGTAAAGTGAACTGAGTTTTTGAATGGAGAGCAGAGCTGGAAGGGAGGGAAATGGGGGCTGTGACTAAAGGAGGAGGCAGCCTCACGCTTGCACTAGCCCCTGGAGCTTGAGGTAGGGAGTAAGAAGAAGTTGGAGGAAAAGAGGGAGGAGGTCAGTTAGCTTGCATCGCTGGCTGGTATTGTCCTGAACCGGCATTTACGGTGAGGGCTGCAGGCCACTGAGAGAAGAGGGGGGCGGAGGTTGAAGAAGAGAAGTGATAGGGTAGCTGGGCTTGAGCGGCTAGCGGAGGCATCCTCACGCTAGCGTCTGCCGCCGGAGCTAGATTAAAAGCAGGAAAGGAAGAAAAGGGGTGATGGGGTATGATAGCCTGTGATGTAGCGGGCAGCGCGGTGCCAGGAGGAGCTGCGGCATCTGGTTGAGCTGAGGAGTGAGGCGGTACGGGATCTGGGAGGGCGGAGTCTGGGGCACGGCCCTGGCTTGCTGATGGCCTGCTGTTTCTCTTCGATCGTGGGGGGCTGGAACTGGACCTAGAAGATGAAGTGCCAGAGACATGAGAGGTTTTATTCTTACAGACTCTACTTGACTTTGAAGGAGTGTTAGTGTGTTCCAGGGAGACGTAAAGACTGTAGAGCTCGGCTTTACTCATCCGCTGCGAAAACCGGACATCTGAATTAGTCAGAGCTTGTCTCAAACCTGCCACGGTCCATTTTGCAATGGAAGGAATGGACGGTGAAGCGGAGACGTAGGATGATGCTGAGGATGGTGCTGGTTGCCTTGATGGTGGAGGTGAACGAAGTCTTCGATGGCTTGGTGTGTGAGCTGTTGATCTTGCAGGCCGGCGTCCGCGCGCCGAGGCGCGGGGCTCGGCGGCGTCACTTGGCCGAGAAGGAAGCGCTTTTGCTCCGTTGGCTTGCGAGGCAAGTGCCTTGGGGCCGGTGGCTTGAGAAGACGGCGTCTTCGAGCCGGTGGCTTGAGTTGGAGCGGCTAGCTCGTGGTCCGAAGGAGAAGATACTAATTTGGACATAGTAGCAGACGAGTAATGCTGGAAAACTGTCGTGGAACTGAGGTAAGTTGGCTGTATATATATATATATATATGTATATATATACGTATTGTGCTTGTTAAGGTGATTAGCTGACGAGCTCCACCTGGGCCAGACTGATTGATTATCTGATCGTGCTCCTCCCGAACCGTTAATAAAACATCATTTATTTGTAGTGCGATAACTATATTTGCTTCAGTTCAAGCGGTATGTGAATCAATGATATTTTCCTCTTTAATATTTGCAGCACAAAATAAACATGAATAAATATTTGAATGCATATTGAAAAAAATCAGAACAATTTAATTCAAATGAATGTCTCATGAAATCGATCAATTAGAGTATCAAAAACATCAGTAAGCCTAGATTTTATTGCTTTTTTTCGTGTTAAATGTGAAGAATGACAGGTTGGATGCCAGACTTTGTATAGGTGTAATTTTCACATTAACTTACATTAACATTAACATGATTTTATTATCGTAATTTTGACTTTATTCTTAAAATATTATGACGTTAATCTTATTTATTTACTTATTTTTTCATCGTGGCACTAAAATGCCGCTGTAGGCTATTAGTACTGCATGCAAGCATACATGCATGCCCCCCCCCCCAAAAAAAAGACAGAAAAGTTTTTTCTGTGAAAGAGTTTTTAATTTTTGATTTGAATTATTTCGTTTTAAAGTAGTAATTTATAACATTATATAAATATATTTATCATGTCAGTGAGGCAAGTATTTGCTGGTTTCTGCGCAAAACTGTGACTGCAGAAAGCCACCCTGTTTCTTTTCTTTATTTTACAAAAGCACAATGTTAAAAGTAGACACTTTGCAGTTCTGAATGATGTATACGCTTACCTTTATGAGGAAAAATGATGGCGTGTTTTAGGTTTCCACTCTTATTAAGAAAAAAAAATGCAAGTGATCGCACTGGCGCTTCCATGTCCTGCAAAGCGCGCTTCAGCTTCTACTCTTCGCACAAACGATTGGATATTTATCACATATTTATCTTAAATATTTAAATTTATATTGTGAAATGCATTAAGTTTTTATGTCTCAAATCATGTTTATTTGAGAAGGCTAAACTGATCAAACATATGCTCAACTCACTCACTCACTGTCTGGCGCTGGCCACTTGGTATTTTAAAAAACAAAAACTTGAATTTAACAAAGTGTTTCATGTTTCTAAATTAACTTAATAAAGAAACGAAACGAAATATAACCACTTTGCCATTAAAACCCAAAACTGAACTATTTTTATGGCTGCAACAGCAGCTGTGTAAAAGGGGAGAGAGAGAGAGAGGGAGAGAGAGAAAAGACACGCGGGCTCAGGTCGGACTCGGGCGGAGAATTCTGATAAGCTGTCAGACAAGGGCCGGGCCCATGCAGGGCTCTATATTCGTTCCCTTTTTTCAATTAAAAGTTCCCCCTCGGCTCGGTGGGCCCATATGCACCTGCATACCCTGCATACCCAGACGCTACGCCCCTACTGCTCGCATAAAATTCAAGGCATTAATGTTTGCCTACAAAACCACCACTGGCTCTGCACCCCTTTACCTAAATTCATTACTTCAGTCTTATGTGCCCTCCAGAAGCTTGCGTTCTGCAAGTTAACATCGGTTTATTGTGTAGTGATGGGAAGTTCGGATCATTTTACCGACTCGGACCTTTGAGTCTCGTTCAGCAAAATGAACGAATCCAACTTAAGCGATGCAGTCTGAGCCGGAAAGAGAATTGATTAGTTCATTAGTCTTTTGAATCGTTCGTTCTTTTGTCACGTGACGTGACAGCATTTAAAGAAAAACCACATGAACTTCACATCTGCAATAACATGTTAAAATCACATGTGAAACACATATGAATCACATATGCAGCAAGCGGTTTTGGAACATTTTCATGGTCTCCATTTCCGTCAAGTTAATTCTTTATCGTCTATTTTTTATCTTAAAATCTATTTTATACACCATCATTTTCGTTTCTATAACGTGTGAATATATCCCCTATCGTATTCTACAACAAAAACAATCAGAGTGCC